TCTTTCATCTGACCCTTCAGACTGAGTAAAAAAGACCAGTGAGGAGGAGGAGGACCCACACGCTATTTTTGCATTATGTGTTTTTCAGGGATATGAACAGAGTGGAAAGAAATCTCACTTAGATGTTTAAGTCCGTGCAGGAGCCTAATAGTTGGAATAGAATCTGGTCCAAAATATTTCAACTTTTGTACATTTAAATGGTTTCTTTTCAGGTGCAAATATGGATCAAATTCAGCCCAAATGTTGTGAATTGTTTTAGTCCCCACAGCATTGTCTTTTGGTGAATAAACTATTCACTGAAAGAAAAAATGATAAAGTATAGCTGCAGCATCAGATCAGCTCTCATCCTCTCCTATGATCTGTAGTTCCCCTTCTCTTGCTAACTCCCACCCTGGCATGGAATGGTAAGAAGAAGCACCAGTGGATTGTATGCTACAACAAAATCTCAGTCTCTAATCAGGAAACCTACTGGATGCAGAATCAAGGTGCTTGTATTACCTGCCATAAAGCAAGAATGCCATTGCACCAGTAAAGAGTATGTTTACAAACCACTTTTACAGCCATGGAGCAAAGACCACACCAAATAAGTCAGCTGTCCTGGGCTATGTCGGAGGGTCCTCAAAGGCACATCCTTGAAACCAAAGCTATGTGTAGCAACTCGTCTCCACTGGAATGTAAGTAGATTTTACCAACCTGAATTTTTTGTTGTTGAAAGGAAATCTTTGTTGATTCAGAATCCAGCGCAAAAAAGTGAGCTTGGGAAATAACTACTTGGTTATGTTGAAAAGTATTATTCAGTAATGGCTTTTAAAATAGTATAGTATAGTATATATTCATTCAAAGAAGGTCGAGATATCCAGGGAAGAAATATGTGGAAAAAGCCAGGTTCTGTTCCCAGGACTAGCATAGGCGTGTTAGTGACTTAGTACAGTCTAATAGGCAGTTCTAGCATTTGCTCTGTTGCCAAAGGAGAAAATTTTATATAGGGGCAAATGCAGCAAGCTTGTGTGTACTGTATGTAATGTGGCATACAGTTCTTATGGAAGTGTCTGCTTTGCTGGCCCATCAGCCCAGTGCATCCTTATGCCTCGGGAGAGAAGTCTCATTGCTTTCCCTTCAGTAGGTTCCCTGTGTAGTGTAAAGTATAGCCAGGAATTAATCCCTGTTCCTCAGTTAGCATTGATCTAGGGCTGAATCTGAAAAGATTCCTATTGACTTCCATGGAATTAAGATCAATCCCTTAATCTTCTATGATTGAGTACTGGCTGCCACAGAAACCTGTTTGCTCATTAACATGGACTCTGTTGCCTTACAGGGACTGGCTGTCTTCAGCTACCTCACTGGGAGCTTGGTTGGAGTTCATCTTCCACAGGTCATCTAAGTGAAGAGGGGCAAGTAACA